ATCGTGACGATCCTCAATTTTCATATCGCAGGGAGCTGGGTTTGCCTTAATGCCATTATCGGTCATTAAAGTGAGGTATGAGGTTAGTTGTCTTTTGGTCCTTCCGTCATCGCATTCTTCAAGCGGATCAGCGAGGCTGATATCTGTTTTAACGATGCAATCAGAGCAATTTTTACAATTATAGGACAATGTGGGATGCGACAAGGTCTATATTCCGTGAAAGCGGGTTTCGTGGGTTCTTCTATGGGTTTGGGGCGACCGCGTTGAGAGACGCGCCATCTGCAGGTCTCTATCTTTTCTTTTACGAACATAGTAAATCTGCTATCCATGGTGCGTTTTGAAACAGTAAAGAGATTTCGCAGCATGACACTTATTCACTTTCCCTTGACAGGATGGACATTAGCGTCGCCGTACTCGCCGCCTGCTGTCAACATGGTGTCCGCGGCTGTTAGCAGTGTGGGCGCGACGCTGGTAACCCAACCATTCGACATGATTCGCACACGCATGCAACTGCGGCCACTGGAGTACACTAGTATGCTTCAAAGCTGCTGGAAAATTTTCAGGGTACGGGTAGGATGCTCCGAGGGTTTCATCTGATTCAGGAATTTTGACAGTCATGTCCCAACAGGCGGAAGGGATGATGGGTTTCTTCTCGGGGATGATTCCAAGACTCATGAGAAAACCAATTAGCTCTGCAATCACTTGGACTGTGTATGAGGAGATTGTGCGGTGGGGAAATCGTCATACATAGTTCCGATTGTTTCATCTGTCGACAGCCCGGTTACGTGGTTGCATCCTTTTTGTTTGCGACAAATCACGAATGTAGATAATATGGATAAAGATACAATACAGAATAAATACAACGTAGCAGCAACATCAGTCAAGTCTACGCTTTCACCAACCCATCCGCATACTGGAATTCCCCGCTTGTCTCATGCTCAAACATGTCCAGCCCAACCACACAACTCTCGCGTACAACGCGCTCGGGGTCGGTGCTAAATTGTTTGAGGACGGGGAAGACTTCTGGGGTGGCGATGGAGCCCAGTGCTTCAGCACACTCGTGGCGGACCATCCCTTCCTCTGCCGAGTTTGACAGAGATTTAATGAGGGCAGGGACGCTGGCGGGATGTTGCATTTGGCCAAAAACATAGGCTAAAGACACGAAAAAGGAGGGTGAGGCTTCTACTCCATCACAACATGAGGAAGGCATTTTCGGATTCCTACCTATTTCGTGCCGAAACAAAGCGCTATCATCCTCCAATCCCTCCGCAAGCGCCAGTACGGACTCAACGTCCCCCCGATTTCTCAGGGCAAACATGGCACGATACCGTTCAAACAAAGGCAGTGATGTGTCGAGAAGTTGTGCGCGCAGCTCTGGAGTGGGTTTGGCAGCCTTCACGGGCGGGGCGGGATCGACTGACGTGTACGAACTGTTCAACCACTATACGTAAGAAAAAGGGACAAACAATCGCAGCACAAGTCAATGCCAAAAGCTACCACACCTTTCCGGTTCCTTGTCTCCAGACTGCTTGCGCGCGGCTTCGTATCTTATCCGCTCGATGGCAAGTTCGCATGTTTCTCGGACCACCCGACTCTCGTCCTTCGCATACTGCTCCAGCAACGGAAGCACACTCTCTTGTGCAATGGCTCCCAAAGCTTCAGCGGCCTACGACGACATCAATGAATGTGAAGCGAATATCTTTCAGAGAGCTATTGAATGCATACTAACCTCGTGTCGAACCATAGGATCTTCTTTTCGGTTTTTCAGGACACTGGTGAGACAGGAGATTGCGTGAGGGTTGCGCATTTGGCCGAGAACATAGGCCAACTCGTGTTTCAACAGTGCAGACGGGTCGGCAAAAGCTGCCACAACAGAAATGCGAATGGCAATGTTAGGAAAGACCCGCAGTTGCCACGACAAAGAAAAGATGGCTCCACTGGAGGTAATTGATCAGACACTAACCCTTCGCAATGATATCCACGCAGGCATCGTTGCCTAGACTCTTGAGAGTGAAAAGCGCACGGAATCGTTTGTGGAGCGGAGTGGTGCCGTCCGTGTTGCAAAGGACAGCTTCCAAGCGAGACAAAGTTTCCGGGTCGTCGCGAGCGGCTTTAACGACGTCAACTGCATCAACGGAGATTGTCATGTTGGCTCTTTCAGTTCAACAATAATAAGGGAGTGGTGACCGGAATGCAAGGAAGTTTGTGGGATTCGCAGACAATTCGCAGAAACCAATCACACAAAATTTTTGGCGAGCGGATTGGCCGACGCCACAAACAAATACTCCACGGTATCCGACAGGAACTGCGCGCAGGCCGCCTCCTCCCCCTCAATTCTGATTAAATTGGAATGCGGACCCTTGGTTTCTTCATTTACTGTGTAAACGCCCTAATTAAGTGGGGCATCATCCCCCCACCCCGGACGCAGATACCGACAGACTCTTGAATTCGCACCCTAGACCGTTCGCGCGGTTCAGGGTGCCTGAAACCCTTGCTCGGCTGTGAGTGTCGTGGATTGTTCTGGGATTGTAAAAGATACCGGATTCGGAAGTCTCGACGAGATCACCATGAACGAACACAATTTCTCTAGTTTGGGTTCAAGTCTCATCTGGAATGACAAATGGAGAATAGTAGTGCCATGACAAAGAGTCGGTACTGGCTTGGAATTATTTCGCAACTTTCTCGTCAAAGAGTGGACAGAGTGCGATGTACAATGGCGGAGAGTGTTGAACCGGTCACGAAGTGCGTCCTGCCGTCTCTATGGTGTGGCTGCAGTTGCACGGCTCCCGCCGACTTCGAAGGCCGGATTAGGAACCACACCCAAAAGCAATACCGCCCAAGTGCGGGTAATGCTTTTGCATTACATGCAGAAAATACACTGATGTCGCTATCTACTTCACTCCTCCAATTAGATGTTGCGCGGCTTTTGTCGAAAAACACAAATTCTGATATTTACATAGCGAAGCTGCACACAGAGAACACAGATTTGATACACTAGATACACTATTTACATACACAGCTAAGCATCTGCACACTACCCAACTGCCTGCGTTATCAATTAGCAAAATAAAAAGCTCGCAAAACTTCAAAGGCGTCATTGCAAAACCGTCGGATTCAGTCAGTGTCATGCGGAAGCTTAACGTCGTCGGGAATCAAAACGTCGTTGATCATGTGAACAACGCCGTTAGCTGCAAATGGAATATAAAGTTTAAATTCGGTAAAGGAAGCCAAGCAAACCATCCCAAATAAGAAAAACGCACCAGCGATGCCATCAGCAAACCTCACCACCGCCTCGCCGTGGTTGATCAAAAACAAGTACTTGTACGCGTCGCACTCGTGTTTCTTGGTGCTGATGTCGCGGCGTTTACGAGCCTCCAATTCGAGAAGTTGGTCCTTGTGGAGGGTGTGCACCTTGAGTTTATGTTGTTCCATCATATCGATGGAGTAGGCGAGGTCTGTGGCAACCTATATGTGAGAAAATGAAAAGTGAAATTAATGCACGAGCATATGCGCATGCGCGGGCAGTCGGCCCAATAAGGATGATGAGCAGTCTCAACACTTGCATGAAACTCGACAATCTTCTTCAAATCTTCCTTTCCCTTCTCGGACCCAAACAGATGCGCCAAGTTTCTGTACCCGAGGCGTTCCCATGCGCGGTTGGTCGGCGCGAAGACGGTGATACCTTTGCCTGTCTTGGCCATGTCATGGAGGTCCGAGCGGTAGAGAGCGATCACCAGAATCGAAAACTCCGTCGGGAGCATTTTGAGTGTGTGCAATGCGTCGCGCTGGTTGACCGTTTCATTAAAATAGAGTCGTAGGCAACCAAACCAACCACCCATCCGCCTTACCGGGGGAACAAGCACACGATCCACAACATGAATCTTGCCATTATCCGCCTGGATATCCTTATCCACCACCCTCGACATCATATTCAAGTACGTGTCCCCGTGAAAGCGGTACACGCGGATGCGCTGGTGCTGGTCCTTGAGGGACCGAAGTTTGAGGTCGGTGCGGAGAAGGCGGCCGGCGCAGAGGTCGTCGCCGTTGATCTCTTCATTGCGGATGATGTGGTAGCGGAGAATCTACAGTAACCAAGGAAGGGAATGTTAGGGTTGAACCGTAGACGCCCAAACATTGATGAGAGTAACCAAAAAATGTCGTGGGACGCTCACCTCGTGGATGGAAGGCTTCTTCTCGTCATCTCCGCAGGTGCTTCCCGCCTGAGCAACGGACTCTTCAATACGCTTGAAAGCCTCGTTGGTGGGGGCAAACAATGTCGACTTGGTTTTTCTGTTCTCCAAGTCGTCCCGGAGGCCGCGGTCGGCAGCGAGCGCTTCGACGAGCTTGGTGAAGCGCTCATCTTGGCGAAGGCGGTCGACTATTTGGCATGGAGTCACCACCAGAGAAGGAAGGCGGACAATTTTCACATTAGTTGGCAAGCGTGTAACTGGAGATTGACAAGGCATGGCTCTCACCGATGGTTCCTCCTTGCTGGAATCCAACGTCCACCTTTTCGCCGAGGCTCAAATCAAACTTCAGTTGCTCCGGCCAGGTGGGACTGGAATGCGCCCTTGGCAACAAGCAGGACAGGGCCAACAGAGTGGATGTAAAAAGAAGACGCATCTCGTTTTTGTGTGTGGGAAAGTTCAAGTGTTTTGAGTGGGAGGGGCGAGTGAACCCAGACCGTGAATTTTATAATTTTCTGAACGACCGCGGATCTGGTTGAAAAGTGGACTCACCCACACCATGTCGCATAATTCCAGGCTTGCAATGCCATTGAAGGTTTTGCCGTGGTGATGATACCCCAATACCGCCATTAAGTGGATACCTGTCATGCGCAGCAGCTAGCCGGGCCTCAATCGACACGCCCATAAGTGCAAAAACTCCCCTTATGACCAAAAGTCATCGTGAAGGTCGTTGAGGAGTGACAGAAGGAAAGGAATGTCCGCAGTCATAAAATGTTTGTACAAAACAGCAAAGTCACAAGAAAGCGTTTCAAATGAGGCCTACGTGATTTGAACACGCAACCTTTCGATGTATCCTGGTTACATAATCGCTTACGTAAGCTGGAGTCGAACGCGCTACCGTGGCGCCAAGGCCCCGTTGTTGTATGTTATTGGAACGAACTTACATATACCAGATGGGAACCTTTTGAGGTCCCCCTAAGCAACAAAACAAGGGACACTTGACAAGGAAGACGGCGGATATGAGAAACACGGAGAAACAAAACAGAGCAAGCAGTAACATGACGCCAGAACCAATTTGGCGCAAGGAGAGGTGAGGTGCCCGAATATGTCACTCAAAAACCCTCGGCAAATACGAATCCACTGTATCAGCTGTGAGGCAAAAAATTCAACTGTACAAAACATTGGGGCGTTTGCTATCTTGGAAAGCTTTCGACCATTTGTTGAATGCCAAGTTTCAAGTTATCGCCGTTCGAAACTTCCGGTTTTAGTCGGCTCTGACAAGCACTCTCGGGTAAAATTGAGTGTTTTTGGTAAGTTCATCACCGTATACTACTAGGATAATAATAGGATGTGTTAGACCACGTTAAGCCTATCATACGCAAGGCTCGCCGAACTAGTCTAACAGAGAAGAAGCAGGTTGGGTAGGAGGTGTACAGTGGAGAGAGATCCTCGGGCCTGGTCGCAGTCAGCAGGAACGGTTCAAGTTTCCTGCCTGATGGCAATAGATCGACATGAATCTCTGGGATTTCATGCACGCCAGCAGATGTTGCCTTTGCAGCAACTTGTTGCTTGCGCTTCCACAGGAAGTAGCCGCCAAATGCTGCCGCCCCGACAAAAAGTGTGAGCCCAACCCCAAGACCCGCAGCTGCTCCCGTACTAAGAGCAGGCGACTGCCCGCTCGAAGAAACATCGCGTAATGCGGTAGAGGAGGAAGTTGTGGAGGTTGTGGACGAGGTTGAGGAGGTTGTGGACGTGGTTGGCATGGTCGTCGGAGTGGTGTTATTCTTTATACAATGGACGGAAAAGGCGTAATCTTTATCATTTCCTGTCTAGACGCGGCATTCATCCGTGAACGGAACGTCAGTGGCTGGAAGACGTTCTCCGGTGCCCGAGCAGTCGCTGGTTGAATACTCGTCCAGGGCATACTTCGATTTGCTCAGGCAGCGGGTAATGATTCCGTACGGTGTGCCGGAAACTGCGTGGCATTCACCGATACCAACAAGTGTGCTGGGTCCCAGGCATTGTGACCCCGGAAAATAAATGACGGCCTACGTGTACGTGTTTGTGTCTGCCATGGGGCCAGCTCACTCTTCTGTTTGTGGACAAGAACTGTGAGGAAATACAGGTCCTGTTCGTCCTCAGGTACGGCGCGCTCTCACTTCCTCAGTTTCAGGCCCGGAAGGAAGTAATGACGATGAACCACCCAGTGATGCTGTTCAACGGAGAGAGATCTAAACGGAATGAAACGGTTGGCATTCGTCTGCCCTGCGTTGTGCGGGTGGCGGTGAGGTGAGATCCGTCTGTAAGCGACGCACAAGCAGGGACGCGGACGCGTCGCGTTCCCTCGCGAGGTTTAGGTTTGTTTACTATCGCACCGGCGGTACGATATTTGAGCAACCTGTCTGCAGCGCGAGACTTCTTCTGTGGCAGCAAAATTCGTCAATATAAATTTAATGTGTGTGGAGATCCAAACTCTCCTTGTACGTTCGATTTGCGACTGTGGAATTGCTACTTCAGAGTGAACTTTGTAGTCAGTAATACAGGATAAACCCCGACGTCGCATCTGATTCCCAGAGACAGACTCTGAATGGTGGTGGCGGGCTCTGGCGATGGAAAATTAATGGTGTTGAAAGGGACTGCGATACAGCAGAGTAACGTTACGGTAGCTATTCGAAAGACAAATAGGTATCATCCCAAGAAAACAACATACACGCTCAAAAATTACACATCTACAAAATGGGTCCCTCCCCCTATCCACATCGTCTATCCACATCGTCACGTTCGCGGCATATCCTCTCGGGTCATGACCTCTCTCGGATAGTTTGAGAAACTCCCCTGACTCGTGACCACTTCCCGAGGTGCCCCAGGTCCTCCTTCCCACCCACTTGCCGCTTGTTGCCGCGGGGCCACGATGTTCCCATTCGCCACCCTATGACCCGTTGGCGACCCACCACCACCACCCTCCCGACCACCGAATCCCCCCATAGGCGTTCCGGCCCGAGCCGGAAGCAGCGCAGACGCACTGCTTCTCCAACTCGCAGGTCGCGCCGAATCTGGCATTTGCGGTGAATATTCCCGCACGTCATTGCCAAAAGACGGCTGCGGTTGCCCCTCCCTCATGACCGGAAACCCAATCCCGGACCCACCATTGTACGGCGTGGGGTCAACCCACCCGGGTGCCGTGCTCCTCCCAGCTACCCCTGATTGTGGTGGTGGGGACGCTGCTAGTTCACTGATCTTGGGAGACCGAGGACGTCGGCAGAAAATGCATCTGAGTATACTTGATAGCAAAGCGAGGATCACGAGGCCAATAAGCACGAGGATAGGGATGGCGAATTGGGGGTTGGCTTTGGCCCAATCTATCACTGACGCGACTATTCATTTTTTGAAAGGAGAGGAACCAGTCAGTACCTGTACAGCGGGCCACATAAGCCGTTGACTGAGGTTCAGACACTTACAGATATTTGAGGCGTCGCACTTTCCGGCTTTGCATTTTCCATTGATTCCACATGGTGTACCATCTATCCCAAAGAAAGGTTATCAGTTTGTTTACACCGACGTGAGTCATCCAGACAACCGACACTCACCGACGAAAAACCCGTTGAGAAGCAAACAATCTCCCTTAGCGGTCTGGCAAAACAACTGACACTCCGAGTCGTGCCCGGGGCAGGCCGATGTCGTCACGATGCTCGATGCGTGGCTCTTGCACTGAAGGTCACGGCTGGTGCACGTTCCCGACGCACACGCAGCGGTTACTGTGGTACCATTGGACGTGACGTTACAAGATGTACCGTCCGGGATAAAGGTTTCGGCGGGGCAGGTGACGTTCGTCCCATCGCACACCTGAATAGATGGAATTAGAATTTGGAGATATTGGTGCATTGCTTAGGAATGGTTCTTACCTCCTCAATGTCACAGAATCCAGTTGATGGACGACAAGGGGTGTTTCGTGCCTTGAATCATCCCAGTTAGTGTCACTGACTTCGCCTTTCTCCGCACTCCGCACACCCCCAGAACCTCGAGCGGCGATCGCTTACCTTAATCTGGCAATTAGCACAACACTCGTCATTCTTATCCGAGCACTTTGCCCCATTCTTGAATTTACAATCGGCACCACAACATTTATCCGCACGACAATCATCGGGTGTCCCACAATCACACTCCTCGTTGCCTTCTTTCACGCCGTTGCCGCAAATGCCTGAAGTGATCGTTTTCAAGGCGCCGGGAACTGGAATTTGGGAAAATAAAGACCATTACAGAACTGCACGAAGGAAAGGCAGCCAATGACTATAGCAGGGAAACATACGTTGCAGGCACTTGCCGAGTTTCGGATACTCGGAGCAAATTTGGCTGATACTGCAGGGCGAGAATTGGTCGGTTTGGGCATTGTCCGTGGGATGCATAACTGTATACGTTGAATAGGATGTTAGATACACGCATCGCCAAACAGGGACGACGCGGAAGCGGAAGCAAGTCCTTACGGAATTGGCCCTTGCAATCACACGTGGGTGAGCATGCGCAGCAACCGCACTGTGATGGGCCGCCAGAGCAAGGGCACAAGTCGGCCGTGCAATCGTGTACGGCCCCAAAATCTGAACAGCACCAAAAAGCGTCATAAGCATGCGAGCAACAGCAAACGCGCTTAATGTTAAACCCTTACTGTGTCCAATTTCATGCGCCACAACTTTCCATTCTACCGGCACGATAGACGACACCCCCGTACCGGATACAAATTGTTGACTTCCGCCCGTGTTCTGGGTGAAGGTCGTGTTCGCGCACAGAGTCGCTGTGATGAAAAAGAATAGAAGAAATCAGCAATTGAACGTAATCATTAACTTCCCAACCAGGACACTTACAAAGCCAAGCAACGCCAACCGATGCGCCGGTATTGCACTTTGTCATCAAATGCCACAAGCCGGCCTGATCAGCTGCCTTGCTTCCCCTCCACCGACTAAAATCGCTCAATCGATTATTGATCGTGTATCCGTCGCTGCACTCTTGGTTCCACATCATATTGTTTGCCGTGTCGGTCGGTGTACATGTTTGGTGGAGCTCGACTTTGATAAGCCCCAGGGAAACGTTGAAGGTTGATTCGTATACCTGGGAAGCCTGGTTCCAGTTACTGAGAATGGCCGCAAGGGCAGCATCTGGGCCGCCCTTTTGACGGACATAGGTGCAATCTCCTGCTGCAGCCTGTTGAATTGCGGAAGGAGTACTGTTATGGAAATGGGAACTTACAAAACAAATGACAAATGGCGGAACCAACCATGAAGAGCACCCGTCTAGAGCTGGGACATTGCACCTGCCGCTTGACGAACTTCGAAACCTTAGCCTCTGCCTGTATATGATAGTCCAAAATGGCATCTTTCCCCGCCATAGGGTCAAATGCACACCCGCTGACTTGGGCAACCTCCCGCTTGGTAAGGCCGTGCTCATGACTTCCGCACGTGGACACTGAACCCAAAACCCGTTCTGCGTCCTCTAATCCACCACTCAAGAAAGACCCGTCGCTGCGCGGTACAATCTGCCGGCGAGGACGTTCATCTTCATCCTTAAAAATCATGAGGCGGGAGCGGCGGACAGATGGCGGGCGAGAAAGGGGTGATTCGGGGTCAATGTCCATCTACAATGTAAATCGTAAAGTCATGTTGATATTTAATTTTTCTGATCCAATCAGGCACAACTTCTCTTACATCGCGCTTGGAGCGCTTGTACGCCTCAATTTCTTTCACATGGTACATTCCCTGGCTCGTCGTAAATACCCCGTCAAACAACACGTCTCGCTCGTTCATGCTAAAGAAGCTGCAATGGTGCGAAACTTGCGCATTAGCATCGGATAGCCCACCCAATGAAGCACCAATCATGGGAGTCTCGCATCTCCAACTCACTTGTCGTCGCGAAATGTGATCCTTGAC